TTGTTCCTTTCTGTACTTATTTAAGGTAAAGGTAAAGGGACCCCTGACCATTAGGTCCAGTCGTGGCCGACTCTGGGACTGCGGTGCTCATCTCACTTTACTGGCCAAAGGAGCTGGCGTACAGCTTCTGGGTCATGTGGCCAGCATGACTAAGCCGCTTCTGGAGAACCAGAGCAGCGCACGGAAACGCCGTTTACCTTCCCGCCAGAGTGGTACCTGTTTATCTACTTGCACTTTGACGTGCTTTCGAACTGCTAGGTTGCCAGGAGCAGGGACCGAGCAACGGGAGCTCACCCCGTCACGGGGATTCAAACCACCGACCTTCTGATTGGCAAGTCCTAGACTCAGTGGTTTAACCCACAGCGCCACCCGTGTCCCTTCTGTACTTATTTATCTTCCCCTTATTTATGTTCCAACTCACAGCATTTTCCTTCTTACAGAACTCCTTATTCCAACCCTGATTCTCTGACATGTCTCTTATTTGCCGCCCTGTTTCTAGGTTTTCAGCCCTATTGCTGCCCACCTAACTTTCCTATCGTCATGCTTAATAGGTTGAATCCAATGTTAGTTTCACTCAGAACAGATTCATTGAAATCAGTGGGTCCACTTGAAGTCTAACTTAGTTGGATACAAGCCTACGTGTTTCCTGTTTCTGACATGCGCTGTTATTTTGTATATTTTAAAACAAACTTTTCCTCTTTTTGGTCTTGCCCTTTCTTACCAAGCTTCACTGCTTTCTCTCTGTTCTCTCTCTTGTTTCTCTCTCTTGGTGCCTCCAGTTCCAGAGAGTAATCTGCCTGCATAACATGCAGCTGTATACAATGAAGTAATCCTGTTTGCAAAAGAACTTTTGCATGTGCAACAGAAACTCCCCTTTCCTCTTTTTTGTGCACCCCAACTCACCCCACCTGCTCTGGAGGGTTGGGGGGAAACCCAGTATAGGTGCGGGGGGCAGGAAGAGGACATTTTATTGTACAACTGGAAGTCCTTAGCTGAGCAGGGCCACTTTGCTGAATACAAACACTCCACTTCCTTACTCTACTGCTCATCTCTATGGCTTTTTAATATTCCTCCTGTAGGGGACTCTCCTTCTAAATATTCAGCTTGCCTCCTATTTGTCTCACTTTAAGAAACGATTAAAGAACACCCACATCATTTCATTCAATCATTGCCCTCTTCTTTTTCTGACTGGCATTCAGAATCCATTCCTACTCCAAGGTTAATTCTTCACCTCCCCCTTTTTTTTTTGCCTGTGCTCTGTCTCCCAGCTAGGACAAAGTTTCCTCCTTTCCCACCAACTCCTTTTTAGTTTTAGTCCCATCTTTCTTAAAAGGTGTTCCTGAAGACAGGGACTTGTGCTTTTCTAGTTTTGTATGGTGCCTAGTACATATTAGGTGCTTCTATAAATGATAAATTCTAATTGCGATGAACCCCACTTTGTTCAAAATTCCTTTAATGCTCTACTTCCAAATTTGAAACTGGGAGTTTAGCTGAGTGAAATTAATAGCTTTTTCTCCCTCTCCCTCTCTTTCATAAGCAAAGCTGCTTTCAGGGAGTGCTCTGACATTTGTTTCATTATTAGTGCACAGGAAAGAAAAGGCATTTTTGGAAGTAGGTGAATCACTTCTCGCTTGTCAACATGCTATTAAAGATCTTTGCACAGAGCAACCACTGGCTTTAAAGGCCACTGGTAATAGTAAAGTATATGGAATGTCCGTAAGTGCAGTCATGGCGAAGATTGATAAGCCATTTCTGCAATCTAAATGTAAGGCTCCTTTCCAGCTTTGTTTCACTACTAATATTCTGAATTATTGCTCTGAACAAGTGGAGACTCCTGTCAGTGGAAGCGGGGAAAGTCAATTTTTGCCACCACAGCCATCCCCACAGCCCACAGCACCACCTCCAGAGAGCCTCCAATCCTTCAGAACATATTTTCTGAAAGGCATTGGAGACTTCAGGGGTAATCAGGTAAAAATTGCCTCCTCCCCTTCCCCTTGCGGGATCCTCTGCTGGATTAGAGCCTATATTTCTGCCAACATCCTTGAGGGTTTATTGTCACACTAGCTGAGGATGAGACATGTCTATCAAGTGCATTCTGCTGACTGTTGCAACAAGCGCTCTGTCAAAATCTGCCCTCCAATTTCTTATACGTTTTCTTCTCCTGTGAAGAGAAGCCTCTGTTTTTCATCATCATTCATAGGATAGGGCACTTTAGAATTTCCTAAAATGCATGCCCTATCACTGCAAGGTCACTGACAGTGCTGAAATGTGGATGTGCATCTGTTTCTGCTTTGCAATACAAATATGTCCAGGAGAGACTTCATTAAAAGATGAATGTAAGAGTGCAGGTGTTTGGTTACAAGGCTGACTGAGAGCGAGTGCATATGCAAATAGCTACACTGGTTACTGTGTCATAGTTATTAGTCTTCTCATAACCATAACCTGGGCATAGTTTTAGCTGGCCTTTTCATATGCATCCTCGATACCTGACAGCAGCCTTCTATGCTCTCAATATCTACACATTAATGTGTTCTCGGTTGCTACTGCTATTGCCCATCTGTTGCAATATTAAGAAAAAAGATGGCAACAGACATTCCTTCTTTTGTACAAGCTGCAACAAAATTAGCTTTAAAAGATAGGAACAGCTGGAAGTCATTCCTTTTCTTTGTGCTTGTGTGGGGTGTGTGTGTGCTCATTTGTAAAAACAGGTGGTTACAAGGTATGCTACAATACCCCATATGCTTTGCTTAACTTTTCTCTCTCTCTCTCTTTTATTGAAAGTGTATTTCTGTGGCATCCATGATGTCAGAATGCCCTTGTAGTGTTTACCATCCTCCAGCTGCTAGATGGCAAGGAAATCTGGACATGATTCTTGAAGGCCAAATTGGACATTTATTGAAATAAATAAACATTGTGCTGGCTGAAGAAAGAAGTGTTGTTGTTTTTTATTAGTAACCAATGTGTTTTGGCCAGAATAGGCCTTACTCATATGAATTTTGCCTATGGTGTTTTCATTTTTTGTTGTTTCTTGCCAAAACATGTCAGGCATTAAAAGAATGTGCAGTACTCTTTCTTCAGTATCTTGAGAATGGTTCTCCTTTTTGCCATTTCCATTGGATGTTTCCCATTTGTGTGTGCAAGGGGTTATGATTGTAAGACATTAGTCTGTGAGGTGCAGATAATTTTGCACATGAAATCACAAAGATTGAGCAATTCTAGCTTCCAGGAACTGGCTCGAGGCAACCAAAGTAGTAAGTTCTGATTCAAGGTTTGTTTGCTTTTAAAATATATCAAACAGAAAACAAACTGAGATGACCTGTTTACAGGAGCATCTCTCAAAGACCATTTGCCTTGTCTTTCCTATAGAGCAAAATGTGGGTTTATAGTTCACCCAAGTGCTCTTTAAAAACAGGTCTCTGCTTTTATGCTTATAATTTTATGTTGCCTGTTATTCATTATGAGAGTGTCTTTATTTTCTGTGTCAGTTTTACTATAGCTTGCTTACAATATTTGTATTCTTTACAGAATCCCTATAATTCTTCACATTTGTTCTGTCAACTTTCCGTAAGTCACCTCTGCATTCCATTTTCTTGTCACTCTGTATTTCTCTCCACCCCCTCTTTCATATTTATTATACGTCAGTTCTCAAAAGAACACAATAACTGTATGCCTTTCTACAAATGGGCCGATAGTGTAAACAAATTTTCAGAGGAAGCTTTATATAGGCAGGCTTCTCTCTGCCTTTTTGTTTTGATGAGACTGTCATATCCCTGTCCCTGTCAATATTCAATCCATCATTTCTTGTAAAGGAGACCTTGCTTACACAAATGCAGAGTGAGTGGTGCTGCTAAGTAGCAATAAATTCAGGCCGCTGTCTATACAACCTGCCACTTATCTGGTTTATCTTCATGCACTGCATGCCCTGGCCTTACACTAAGAATTTTGGAATAAAGTTCTACAGGATGAAAAAGAGACCAGTGTAAATGTGACCTTGGCTCTTCTCCTAATTATGGAAAGTTTATACTCATGCCACTCCATGGCTCTCTTCCCTAGAGATGACATGGTGGAGGTTAATGCATTAATTGAGTGTTTAGGAAATCTTGGCTTCCCTTGAACATCTGAATCAGCTCAGAAAGGCTATATCCAGCTGGATCCTGCCCTCCCCACTCCATGTCACTTGCTTGCTTGGACACTTCCACATCACGCAACACAGGAGCAAATAGGGCTGTCAACCAATGGATTATTTAGTTGATTAATTCCCTGCTTTTAACAAAACTAATGAAATGCATATGAACCGTTCTAATACTGCCGATTAGGCACTTTTCAGATTAACCTACTGATTAATCACCCTGTACAGCTCAATCCTATGCATATCTACTCTGAAGGTGCATTGAGTACAATGGTGCTTCCTCCCAGGTAAGATTTTACAGGAACAAATTAATTTTGTGGTCCTTGTAAATAACCATTGTGTCCAGCAATGGTTTCCTATATCTGGTCTATGCAAATTAGCAAGGCAACACCTGCACCAGTGTCTCCCTTTGAAACAGGCAAAAATTCATGACCAGGTGGGCACTTTGTTCACACACATACCTGGAGCAGTATGAAACGTTTTAGCCAGCATACCAACTCAATGAATAATCTCAAGCATCCTCTGCCCTTGCAAATATGCATTCACTTTTGAGTATGTGGTGAGAATCTTGTAGATTAAGTTGCTTGAAGGGGTCCAACATCCAATGGAAATGCCAAACCTGATGGGACAAGCTTGTTTACCAATGCAGGCGTGACATGTGCTGGAGCCCTACAGACTATCAAGCTTCTTTCATTGAGGTCGTGACGACCACTACTGGTAAATCCAAAGCCTTCCCCCGAGCTTCATGGCTGAGGAAGTGCTGTAGCTGCTGCTCTGATATGAGATCCAGGTAATGCCTGTACAAATGCCTGCACCAGGAAGGATCTGGATGACAAAAGTACATTTCCTACAGATGCCATTGGAAAGGGCTGCAGCTCAGTGGTAGAGAATCTGCTTTGCATGCGGAAGGTCACAGGTTCAATTCCTGGCATCACCTGGTAGGGCTGAGAGAGCCCCCTCTTCCTGAGGCTCTGGAGAGCAGCTGCCAGTTAGTGTATCTACTAAGCTGGCCAATGGTCTGGCTTGGCAGAAGGCAGCATCGTGTGTTCCTCCCGTTCATGAGTGAAACTACAAAAATTGCAGAAACTACAGCAAGTCAGGAAAGCAGAAGTGTGAACCAATTGCACTTTCCTTGATAATGCACAAAATGGAGCTTGCCAATCAAACCCATATGCTTAGTCAGCTTCTCTGTAACATCTGAACTGGTTGCTAGAGATAAATCCTGCCCTCGATACCAGCAGCCACATGAACAGGACTACTATTATTGTGGGGTGGGGGTTCCTGCCCCCACCCTCAAAACCAAGCTATAAATATGCAGTTCATCCTGCAAGCACATAATCCATTTCAAACAAAACAACCCTTTCAGCATTTTTAATGTGCCTTTGTGAGAAAAGGAAAGGGAAAGAGATAATAGAAAGATGGTAAAGTAGAGCAAAAGGGAAAAAAATTCCAGAAGCATGAGTCTTTTTGATTATTCAAAGCACAAAATGATGAATGTGTCTGACCTTATTAAGTATATTAAATCCTTTCCCACCTCTTTGTAAAAGAAAATAGTTTTTACACTTGACTACATCTGATTCACATCCATTCACAAGCTAAGGCACCAGACTGGAAAGACATCAGCTAATACTCCATTACTTTGTTTTTCTGTTTTTCTAAACAGATTCAGGGAAAGGGGCTGTGGTTTACAATTTCACCTCAGCCAGCATAATTGGAAATATTTTGACTAGAGTGAAGACTGGCTCAGGCTCAGAGTTGTTTTTATTAAGTGTACAGACTTGTACCATCACACACAATTATGAGTTTCTTGGGCACAAGAGATCCAGCCAAAGTGAGATTGTATTAAGGCTGCAGTCTTTTGCCTATTTAATTGTAAGTCCAGAATACCCTGTCATAAGGCACATAGCAAAGTTCCCTGAAGCCTGATGCCACCACTCTTACGATTTCATTAGAAATACACTCTTTGAGCTCTTTTTCAGCCTGCAAAGCAATACAACAATCTTCCACTACAAATCAGACTTCCCACTGGAAAGTGAGCCCCTTATAAGCAAGGATGATTCTCTGCCAGTGCTGCCAAGTCATGCTTGAGCATAGAATGAACTGCAACCTGAGCCTTCAGGAAGGCATTTATTTACTCATGTGCAACAAGCCATGAAATGGGACAAAAGTAGTCACTTGAGTGGTATTAACTCACTGTCCACCCCCAAAGTTTAGCAGCAGTTGTGCTAACACAGGGCTTCTACAGACAGCAGTGACAGCACCATCTTAGGCTGCCTTCACATGGTAGTTTATTCTACTTTCCCCTAACTGTTAAGTTCCACAATCTAAGCATTCACATGATATAAAGGCTATTTCTCGAACTATAGTGCAAGTTTAGTGCTTACTTCTGTGTTATTTGCTTCCAGAATTAACCTGTGAAAACAATATGGAAATGAGTGCTAAACTTGCAGTATGTTCCACTGGAAATGGCTATTATGTTGTGTGGAAGTTCAAATATAATGTGGAAATTAACAGTTCGGGGATGTCATGAAAATGGAGTAAATTGTCATGTGAATGTAGCCTTACTTTGTACCCTTCCCTCAGCTGCCTTGCCTTTGGATTGCCCCTTATCTTTTCTACACCCTGTATCTTCAGCCCATTCCTCAGTCTCTCCTGTGTGAAATCGTAAAGGGTAAAGGGACCCCTGACCATTAGGTCCAGTTGTGACTGACTCTGGGGTTGCGGTGCTCATCTCGCTTTATTGGCCGAGGGAGCTGACGTACGGCTTCCAGGTCATGTGGCCAGCATGACTAAGCCGCTTCTGGCGAACCAGAGAAGCACGGAAATGCTGTTTAACTTCCCACCGTAGCGGTACTTATTTATCTACTTGCACATTGACATGCTTTCGAACTGCTAGGTTGGCAGGACCGAGCAATGGGAGCAGACCCCGTCGCGAGGATTCGAACTGCTGACCTTCTGATTGGCAAGTTCTAGGCTCTGTGGTTTAACCCACAGCACCACCCACGTCTGTGTGAAGTTGTAACATTAGGTAAATAGACAACTGTCCCATCCCTCACACTACAAACTGATTTCTTCCCTGGGCAACTAGGCATTCTGAGCCACCACACCGGATCAGCCAATCAATGTTTTTCAGTACAATAAACACAATACTATGTTGATTTGCAATTGACTGGCCTTGTGTTCAGAAAACCAAAGAGAAGAGTAGCTCGATGCAATGTGTAATTAACTTATGACATTCACTGCCACAGGTGTGTGTGTTTATTCATGAAATTTATTTATATACCACCCTCTCATAAAATGTAAGGACAGAGTATAGCAATATAAAAAACACAAACAGCCATTAAAAGCAGTACTGAACCATAATTACAATGACGGACAACTCAAGAAAAATGTAAGCAATTCTATAGTCCTGTCAGCATTAAGAGTAAAAAAAAAAAAGAATGCATGCCAAATCTCCACTGGAAGAGTGTTCCACAGCATGATGCCGGTGACACTAAATGTCTGACTTCTAGTTGAGGCTAGTCAGGCCTCTGTAACATGGGAACACAAATACCAGTGCTCATCTGGATTATCTTGGTGATTTGGCTGGGCTATAAGGACCCAGGAGAACCTCTAAGCTACGCTGATGGTTTTGGGTTTGGATTGCTTTAAAGGGGGATTAGTTGAAAGAATAGTCATTTCTATTTGGCTGATCGCTGAAGAATTGATGCTTTTGAATTATGGTGCTGGAGGAGACTCTTGAGAGTCCCATGAACTGCAAGAAGATTAAACTGATCCATTCTGAAAGAAATCAGCCCTGAGTGCTCACTGGAAGGACAGATCGTGAAGCTGAGGCTCCAGTACTTTGGCCACCTCATGAGAAGAGAGGACTCCCTGGAAAAGACCCTGATGTTGGGAAAGATGGAGGGCACAAGGAGAAGTGGACGACAGAGGACGAGATGGTTGGACAGTGTTCTCGAAGCTACCAGCATGAGTTTGACCAAACTGCGGGAAGCAGTGGAAGACAGGAGTGCCTGGCGTGCTCTGGTCCATGGGTCACGAAGAGTCAGACACGACTAGATGACTAAACAACAACAACATTCTCCATTAATCTGTGAGCAGCTATTATCCACAATAGATAAATTGAACTTCCAAGTTCAGAAGCAATATACCCCTGAATGCCAAATCCTGAGGGCAAACACCTTACTTGTTAATTGTTAAGTGCATCTGCCTCAGCACCAAAATAGAGATGGACATCAGCCTGATCCATTTTCTCTCTTTTATTTCTGCCTTGGCCTTGGGAGAGGTAAAGTTTTCAAACACCTGGCTATGGTCATTCTCTCTCTTTATGCAAATCGACATTTCTGAAGAAGAATGTTGAAACAAAGAATGTGCAGAAAGCCACTATAAAAAAAGAGAAATGCAGAATGAAGAGAGAATAAGCATTGTTTGCCACTTTCGCAGTTCTGCAAAAAGTGGAGCTGTTAGATTGGTGATCTCACCTCGTAGTGAGGAAGAGAACGTCATGTGCAAATCATTTGTGAACTAAGCTTAGTTTCGGTAATTTGCTGCCAGCATGGCATGTTGCTTTGGGGACTGAGGAGGCGTAAAGGGAATAATTCCTTATCACAATAATCTATATATTGACTCAGCACAGTCACGGCGATCAATCAGAAGCATGCTTTTCATTTACACTTCACAGGCATTAGTGCCAGCCCTATAAAAATGTGAATGTAAACTTTTGCCATTTTAATCGCTTTTCTGTCATGATGCTATAATCAAGTCCTAAAAAACCAATCAGAGTGCTCCTGCAATAAGGTTCTGCAATTGTGATCTCCCCCCCGCCTCCCACCACACAAAACTGGCATTCAAAACAACCTCGAACTGAGGAAAAACACTGATTGTGAGGAAGAAAGCTTTTATTTGCACACAAATGTCTTGGCAATCAAAGAGGTAGGAGGTACGGAAAAATAAATCACTGTACGGTAAAATTAGTTTGATGTGAAATTTCAGCTTGTTGCAGTTCTAGTAATATATATTCTGGTAATATATATTCTGCTACTATTACATCAAGCTGTAATTTACTTCCTTTTTCATTTCCTTCATCTTGCCACTACAGTGTAAGTATAAATGGGAATGCAAGCACAATATTATGTTTATGTTCTTTCTTCTGAGACTACCAGCTTCTTAAAAAGGTCCCTGTAGTAACCTACAACATTTAGAACTGGGGTAATTATTTATATTTACAACTTGCTCTATACTTGAAGGATCAAAGCGGATTAGATAATTTCCAAGGGGAAAAAATATAAAAATGGAAATATACAGCTAAATTACCTGATATCCACAACCGTTAATATACAGGCATCATAATGGTCAGGTATCCAATTTCCTTATTTTAAAAGAAATTGTGAAGTGAATGTAACGACTGGGGCAACCTTATCCTATGTAGATCCAGGTAATCTTCTAATCTGTACATCTGTACATGTCTTGTTGTAGTAATATACCCTATTCCTTTTTCTGCCACCCGCCCCCCCGCATATCATAGTCAGATCTACCATATAGTAATTGTAGCATAAGAAAATGGGCAATACTTGTATGTAGGGGTTATTTAGTATGAAACTAGTATGAAACTAGGACGTGATCACATCAAGCAAATTATCCCAATGTGGTGACTCTGAAATTATTATAAGCCAAGAGCAAACTCTTTTAAAGGTCAGGCTCGGCTTATAATAGGTCTAGTCATCTGTGATCCATACCTCACATTGACCCTTTCCTTACTTCAAAGTAAAATTCCGTAAGCCTGGATCCAAAGGTGTCCTCTTGCAGGCAAAAGGGACTTTCTGTTCACATCATGGCTGCTTTACACATTGTACTAGAAAAGTGAAACTAAATCAAAATATGTACTCTGGCCCTTCCCAGCACTTGCATGTGGTCTTCAGAAGGTGTCGCAGAGGGAAA